AAGCCTAAGCCCAACATATTATACTACTTTATATACTTACCATTAATAACATTAACGAATTAACCTTACAAACTTATTAAACGCTGTAGAGTTCTTAAGTAAGTATCTTAAGCAAAATGTTAAAGTAATTTGTAATGAAATTTGTTTGTTGTACACTTTAAGCATCATCCCTTAGAATTTGTATAGTTAAAATTTTCATGCAGGCATTACAACGTAATTATACGTAATTGTGTAATAATCATGCGAATAAAGGTAAATAAGACAGATCATTTTGACTATGCAATTCAAATGCAGAAGAAATAGGTTTTTTCTATACCAAACTCGAACTTATTACACAAATACACATCTTATTTTTTCTTGCATTTACAATCAAATAAACAAGAAAATCCAATGACCATTATCAACGAATAGTCGAGTTGACTTTAGTTTGGCCAATTAGCGAAACTACTAGTGTTTTTAATTGGTAAAGCTTTGTAATGGTTTGGTTAGGCAAAATATGTGCACCACCCAAATTGCGTAATCTGTTTATACGGCGCGCTCGATTTTTTTAATTTTCCTTTTCTTAAAGTATGTTGTATTTCAACAAATATGTTCCTAAATCTACTTATCCTCAATAATAAAATACACGAGCAGAGTTTTAGGGCTTAGAACAGTAGTACTCATGATATCTAAATAATTTACCTCAACTTCAATCACGAATTCCGAAATAAAAATTAATGACCCATGACATTTTGATGACAAACAATACATTTCGTTGAATGTACTTTTGATGATTCTAAATTAATTATTAATATTCTTGGTTCAGTTACTGTCAGGTTTGAATCTCTACTTTGTATGGTTTGTTGTTAATATTTCATTAGTATTTAATGGAGAGTAGAAAACAAAAACAGCATTTAGCATGCGTTGATCAGATAATTTGAAAATTGACAGTTTAACAGATTTAGATACGAATCAATAGTACGAGGCATGCTGTATCAACTGGGGATTACCATAAATGGTTTATAACACCTGAAATAAAATTAAAGTTAACATGTCAAACTACACTAAAATATTACTAGGTGTACAATGCAGTTGTCTGCTAGCATTATTGAGAGGAGCTAGCATATTAATCCAATACTTTTTTAAAGTCAACGATACATCTGTTTCTCGTAAATGAGATTAAATACTTGCAGTATCCAATGTCAATAATCTATTTATTTGCAGTATTCAAAGTCAATTATAAGTCTGGTTCACGTAAATGAATAGTCTACGTTTCATCTGGTTCTCATAATTATATTAAATGTCTACTTGCAGTATCCAATGCCAATGATACATTTGGTTCACATAAATAAAATGCATATTTGCAGCATCCAAAGTCAATGGTACGCCTGGTTCACTTAAGTGGAATGTCTATTTACAGGTTCTAAAGTCAGTGGTACGTCTGTTTCACGTAAACGAATTGTGTACTTGCAGTATCTAAACTTAATAGAACATTTGGTTCACGTAAATTGTTTCTTCCAGTATCATAAATCAATGATACACCTGCTTCACATAAATAAGAAATCTACTTGCAGTATCCAAAGTCAATGGTCCATTTGGTTCACACAAATAAGATGCCTGTTTGCATTATCCAAAGCCAATGGTAGGCTTACTTCGGGTTTACTTAAATGGAATGTATATTTGCAGTATTTAAACTCAATGGCACTTTGGTTCACGTAAATGAATTGTCTACTTGCAGGTCCAATGGCTATTTGGATTTAAGTTAATGGTGCATCAGCCTTATTCCGGCGACACTAATTATTGGTTATTCATTTTGTAATAAATTATGCTCAATGATTTAATCCTATCGTTCTTTTCTTTTTCTCTGTACGGTATTTGTAATGCACTATTTCGATGATTCGTTGACTAACATATGTTGCGACTCTTGTTTCCCTTTTTATTATCTCGCAAATAATGCTATGGCAACCAATTAACCCATAAGGCCCATGTTAAATTTCCAAAATTTTTAATTCCAGTAGGGAAAAGCCCTGTGGTCCAATTTGTACCATTTCAGATTTATACCTTCCCATGGTTGGTTATTACGATTGTGCTAAATTTGGTGCAGATCGCTTCAGCCGTTCAGGAGGAGTATTTGTAAAACAAAAGCAGGAGTGTAGTATAAGAGCTTCGCTTCGCTCCGCTCAATGAAATTTATTTAAACTAGAGTTCATCCAACGGTCGAAAACTAGACCAAAAATTTGTCTTGTACAGTATTTCCACCCCACACTGTAAATAAAACATGTGATTGCAGTTTCCTTCCATTTGTTTTGATTTTCTGTTTATATTTCGTCACCAGCGTGGCAACCTATAAAGCCCATGTTAATTTAAAAATTTTTAAATTCATTTGTTGTGCTTATTTTTGAGCCTATTTTAATTTATTAAGGGATTCTGCACATCTACATGAAAATATATTTTCCTACAGTTACCTAACAATGTACATGTTCTCTCACTGATTTGAGAAAGCAAAGTGGCCAATTCGCTCATCAGTGAGACAATGTTAACATTGTCTCACTCTAATTACTTTGTCTCACTCCAGATTTGCAACGTGAAGGCACGAAATAGTGAGCGCGTAACATGCAGGCAACGTCGTATGCGCGCGAAATACGTTGGCAGCACTGGCTGTAAATCAGCTGGTCAGCTGTTGTACTGTTGTATTTGTCACTTCACATTAAATGTTAATTAAAAGTTCACTTCTGTGTAAAAATAGGTTATGTTTCTTCACAAATTTATTTGTTTTATGGTAACTGTAGGAAAAGTATAATGTGCAACTCGAGTTCAAAGTACAATTGCCTCACTCGAGAAACCATTCCTCACTCGCCTACGGCTCGTGAGTAAGGATTTCTCTCGAGTGAGTCAATTGCTCACTTTTCTCACTAGTTGCACAAATAACTATTTCAACAGTATGCGTATATCTTCCCTGCGATGCACATGAGCTGAGAAAAAAAGGTTTTAAAGTAAAACGCTTTCCTATTAATATATAGAATATAATATTATCTGAAAACATATATATTGGAAACAATTATTTTTAGGGATGAACTTGAATGGTGGTACTCAATTTATTTATAGCATGGAATTTAATGAAGAGATTTTTCCAATGTAGATAAATTTTTCACCTCGTAAACGTATTTTCTTTAGACAGGTTTACCTACAACTGGACGTAGACTCTGTTTTACCTGGTTACTAACATTACTAAAAGAACTAGTATTCAGCGGGATTTGAATCGAGACCACCAGGACTGAAGTCCCGCTCAATAACATTTACAGTAGTTGAATGTACCAAGCTAGAGTGGTTAGAGTGCACGCATTGTAATCAGCAGGTCACCTGTTCGATCTTGAAAAACAGCTGTTTAATAATTGATCTGAACTGAACCCAGCTGTGATATTTGACCAATGGTCGAAGAGAGTCAGTTTAGAGGTTGGATTCTGGTTGAATAAAAATCTGATTTTAGCCATGAAAACAGCTACAAAGATCATGTTACCAACCTGAACCTGAACTTAAAATACGAACCCAAAGTTTGTGAAGTATAACTTCCGTTATAATATTCCAGGTAGTGGTTTCTTGGTCGATTAGTCATTTGACACTTTAGAACAAACTGAAGCTGTTATCCTTGTACACGTAAGGTCGTTGATATCCTGAGGCTCACATACTTCTGGAATGTCCAGCAATTCCTGATCTGGATAGTCATATAATTATAGTATATTTCTTGTCCTTTTTTGATATTGGCTTACTGTATTAACTTTTGTTCTATTTTATAGGCTCATTACTTTCTAGTTTCCTATTTTATAGGGGTGCTTTTTCGGAACTTTTTATACTTAATTTCATAAATACTTTTAGTAATGTTCACTGTAATGGCTTATGTGATTTCTTTAGCTCCTTGTTTTCATCCTATGGCATTTGAAATTTTGTTGTTGTAAACTTAATTACTTCTACTTAATTAGTTTGTTTCTTGTTTTATGAAAGGGATGCATGATTCGAGACAATAAGAGTGGTAATGTTTGCGTCTACTCCAGAGGTATTTTGTTAAGGTAATCTCAAAATGTTTGATGAAAATCGGTACAATCCAAGTGTTTGGCGTGTATTCGAAGTAGGGAAGTCCAAGACGCTACTAGTAGTTTAATTGTTATCTATTCCTAAGTTAAATTGCTAGAGATTTGGAACCGTCAATAATCTGTTTTTAAATATCAATGTTTGAAAGATTATTAGCCAATTAGCCACATTATATTATTACGTAATGGATTATAGTAATATAGTATTGTAAGTGGTCTGAACTACTTACATTACTGACAATGGTTACAAGTTTGATACAAGGTGAATCTAAAATGTCTTATTGATTAATTCAGATTCATTTTCACAAATGTTTATCCTTCAATTTCAGATACCGAGGAATTTGTCAGTGTGTACAGTTGTACACTTTGAATATCAATAATGGCCCTACAAATTAACACATCTTCACTGGTATATTAATTTCGACAAAGAACGTTCTAATTGTTTAAATTCATTTTAGTGGAGGGATTACTTCATTTGGAGTTAAAATCATATCTGTGGTTCTTTTCCTCCAGATTTTCCCATTTTGCCCAAGCGAGCCACGGTGTCTACGGAATGTGGCTCAATATTTGAATATGCAAACTGTTTACACAATATGACTTGAGTAGTCTAGTTCAGTTGCGTGTCTGACTAGCATTACAGAATATTTTGCTTGTTTTCACACAATGTTGTAATAATACGAATTTCTCAATATCTTGTTGTGCATTTTTACAAAAAAATCCTGGTCAATTGAGTTTTAAATGAGAATTGACTCCATATAGCTTTCAATTTGACTATTCTTATCAAACTTGTAAAATTAAACTTTGTTTAAAGTTTGTTTTTATAAGATAAAATTCCAAATTAAGTACTAGGTTCGTAGCCCAACATCGGCAACATCAATAATACATATTTTATACAGGACAGATAAATAAATTCAGGTTGGTAATCATAACACCAGCTACCACCATCAAAACAAAATCTTTATTCCAAAACAAAAATGATGGTCTGTAAAACACACAAAAATCAGTACCTCAGAGGACTAGCACCATTTGTTGTTGTGAAACACATATGAAATACAGAAAGGAAAATCTATACTAAAAAAAAGAATGTCTAAAAGTTTTAAATTTTGATAAAAATCATGAGAACTATAATTGGTTATTTAAGATTATAACGTTTGTTGAACGAAGTGTAAGAACCCCTCAGTCTATAGAAGCTAGCTTAACTAGTGTTTGTACATGACTAATATAAATACGCTAGTTTATTTACACTGTAAAGCTTTATACAATGGAAGATCCGTTGGTACTTATTTGTAATTGACAGAGTAGGAGCCAGTGTAGAGGTCGATGTTAGATGCGGGGTGCCCTAGGAAGATGTTCTGGTCTACAGGGGCAGCAGGAGGGTTCCAGGACCTCTGCCAAGTGTTGGGGCGAGGAGTCGGGGCGGAGAACTGGCTGTATGAAGGTTGTTGAGAGTAAGTAGGTTGTTGTTGCGTGTAAGTAGGTTGTTGTTGCGTGTAAGTAGGTTGTTGTTGAGTGTAAGTAGGTTGTTGTTGCGTGTAAGTAGGTTGTTGTTGCGTGTAAGTAGGTTGTTGCCGAGTATAGGTAGGTTGTTGTTGTGAGTAAGCAGGCTGAGAGTAAGAATTCTGCGAGTAAGCAGGGTTTGTGTAAGAGGTCTGAGAGTAGGTGGGTTTCGCAGACTTAGGAGCTCCCTGGTTGTACTTAGGGTCCTTCCAGTAGATGCTAGGGTCCTCCCTGTACTGACCGTCGTCCTCCCCCTCAGGACCCACGTAGTTGGCACTGTTTGGGTCAGGGAGGGTCGGAGGGGCCACGTTCACTCCAGTACCAGCTGGTTGGAAGCCCAACTTGCTCGCTCCGTACTCAATCTCCCGTAGGCTGCCCGTGTCGTCGACGTACCCGTATTTGCCGTAGACTTCCCCAGTCGCATGTTTTGTCTCTATCTTGTAGCTCCCGTCAGCGCCCTCGTACCCGTAGCTGTAGCTGCCGTCCTCGTTCTGTCGGTTGATCTGCTTCAAGATGGGGATTGGAGTGGTGTACTGCTGCTGGGACTGGGCCCATGCCGCCGCCAGGCAACAAGCTGCCAAAACCTGCAAACAATACGTTTGTAAATTAATTGTTCTGAAGCTTTGACTGTTGAGAAGAAGAATTCCATTGTTAAGACTTCCCAGTGTTACAGCTGCAGCCAGTTCTAGAATAAAAATTAAACAGTATAATTACCGTGCAGCAGATAGAGATTGATGACGTCCATCACCTATTTATACAGAATCAGCCAGGAAAAACTGATTTATGTCTTGCTGCATAGGGAGTAGCTTAATCAAAACCTCAACAGTTAGTTTGTACTATCACATCAACCAAGAATGTTTTAAATAGGATAAAAGTCAACATTTGCAGTAGTACACTCTCTAAGAGGTTTGTTCAACCTTTTTTTTTAATACACATTGGCTGCGGCTGGTCCATTTGGACATGCATGCAAGATAGATGAGATGTGCCCTCCAGTAAAGTTTACATATTGTAAAATACTTCAATTAGTTAATTATTTGGGGCGCAGTTTAAAACGACTTGCCTATAATTTCATTCAGAACGTTAAACTTAAACACTGATTCTCTACAAATTAATAAGATTCTTTTCCTACTACATAGCTATAAATGGTTGGAAAATGCAGAGTGTATATTCATAATCGAACCTACAAAAGTATAAATTTATAACAAAATATTATGTACAGTAGAGATGAAGAATATTCAATTAGTTACCGCCAGGAATAAATTTGTTTGTTTTCTAATTGTTTAAGTAGCCATTCATACATCATTAATTGTTCTTGAGTAGTTAATTTAGTAAGCCAATTAATAAGCCCCTAAGCGACAACAACATTTGAGTTTTGTAAATATTTGCAACCGCAGTTTCGTAATTTTCCGTTGTATTTCCTGAAACATTACTTTTGAAAACAAACAATACATATTAGCATATTTTACACCCACCACAATTTTGGGTGTTAGCATTAAACGAAAGACTAAATAATTTTGAGGAATTTAAAGTCATCGAAAATAAAAGTCATAAAGAGAATTCTTAACGTTAGCACGTATCCTCCATCAAAGATCAATATAAAAACAAAGACTCGTTTAGGTTCTATTAAACACAAAACGATCACACAACTATGCAGCAAAGTACCGCAGACAATAAAGGCATTCCGAGCAAGATGGAGTGATCTTGACCTCGTCGCTGTCCATGCCTGTAACCTCCTCGGACACCTCAGCATGCCATGCCCCAGGGCAGCTACCCCACCACGACCATTCCTCAGGGGCAGCCACCACGACTGGGGCACCGCAGTGCTCTGGAATGCTGCGCCAAGGTCGTCTGCTAGCTGCACAGCAGTCATTATCATTCTGCTGACCGTCTACAGTCTTGTGTCACCGCTATGTTTTTATATAATGACGCTCGGAGGAATTTGAAGAGAGGAAGAAAATATACCTGGGAAAAAGTGGCTTGTTGGAGTTAGTGGTACCTATTCCATCCCTAGAGTGTGATAGCTTCTTAACGCGCTCTTTTTAATTCTTCTATGGAACTTATTGATGGTTTGTTCTTTGAAATTATTAGAAGTTAATTTTTTAATTATCCCTGGTGATAATAAAGTTTGAACACGTAATTTCAGTTGTAATACTTTTGAAAATTAGTATTGTGATTTATCGATAACTGTGCAAACTAGTACCAATATTAATCTCTTTTAGTTCAACTATTTTGGTCCAAATTCTCTTAAACAATAACCTAGCCTATGTTGATTTCCATTATATTGAGGTGTGAGTAATTTCATAAACCACCGTGTATTGAGAAGATTAAAGTATTTTGATTGATCATACTTATATGTGTTTTTCTCTTGTTTCAAAATTAATATTTTACTCTACATCGTCTTGCAGCGCATCATTCATGGACCGGTACAAAAAACTACTTATGTAGCTGAACTGCGAAACTAATAACTAATTCACATAGTTTCTTTCACAACGGAAATGAAGTCATACACAGTTGAGTAAGCTTGCGTGTGTACGGGTATTGTCCAGTGATCATGTAGGTTTACTACACATTATGTGGTTTGGTTACAATGAGCGATTGTGTTATTGTCTGTGAGTGTGTGTGTGTCAGTGTGGACACGCCCATACACCACCTGTACGTTGATTATATACTAGTGCAAGACAGTAGATTATAGTTTGCGGTTCGAATAAGTAGTGCTGCTGTTTTCACCGTGAAAAAGATACAAAGCACTTCACGAGGGTATGGATTATTGGGAAAGGGAGTGATGTAATTTAAACTGATATTATTCTTAGCATCTCCCTAAATAATCCAACTTGCTCTTACCTCATCAAAAACCGATGAAAACCATTAAGATTCATGCCAAGTTAATATTACAAGGGGTGGACTTCCGTATCTGTTGGCACAAACAACCGAATGAAAATATTGGTTGTTCGATTGTTTCATTCGATATATCGTTTGGTTAGTTAAATTAGGTTAACCTTACCAAACTAGCCAAACGATATGTCGAATAATCGATGAATCGATCGATATTTTCATTCGGTTGTTTGTGTCAACAGATACGGAAGTCTACCAATTACAAGATTATACGATTAAGTTTTTTTTTAGAGAATCAGTTGTTGAGTACCAAAAACTTGTTCATAATCTGATCTGATTTTTTTTGGATAAAAATATTTTATTTAACTTTTCGACCTTGACAGGAACTCAGAAAATAAATATGGGTGAAAAAATTATTTTGGCTAATGTGTCCTTTCGTGTACTTGTATTTTCTGTCATATAACACTACTATTTAAGGTATAATATCAAAAATCAGTCTTGTTTTACAATTTTAAATGAATAGCTGTTAGATATAGGTATTCGACAATTTTGTATGTTACATTGAGATATGTACTGTCGACCACCAAAAGTCTATAACCAAAACATTTGGGCACAGTTAAATATTACGGTTAAAAGATGGCGGCTAAAAATGCTAATGTTCCTAAACATGCCTCTACGGGACCAGCTCTCAACGTTGTGGACAGGGTAACTCCGGACCAGGAAGGAGACCTACCGAATGCCGGGCAATTGCGGACACGGAATATTGGGGACACATCATTAAAGAGGGCATAAGCGGACACTAGAGATTACTGCTACCTGACAAGGGGTTGACAGGTCTCTGCAAATATTTCAAGGGCGGAACATTGCGGACACATGTATCTACGACGGGGAAAAAGGTGCTTGAGAGGGAGGATTTTATAAGCGTTACGTTTGTGCTTACAATGTTTTAAAAAATTGCTCCAAGGATTTCAACAACTGGAACAAAAAGCATTCAACAAATGCTGTTATTGATTATGAATATTTTGTAGAGTTTTGACAATTAATTCTTTTACTTTATTAGTCCGGCCATGCTGGTTCGCGATCTCCTTTGAAAAGACTTAGATTTACACGTTTAAGTAAAATGTTGCCAAAATCGTATTATTTTTTTCTTGAGTTATAGTGCTAATGGACGCAATTATAAATATCTTTATATTGCACTTACATATTTGAACGAACTGTTTTTGGCCTCTGCAGAGATCTTAAAAGAAATCAAATCTGTATCAGTTCCGGGTCTAGGTCTTGCAATGAAACATATTTTTAGTGAATTTCCATCTGTGCTATTGGATATACCAACCCTGGTAAACTCGCCCTGTGTATTGTATTGTACGTTTGCAAAATTCCTCACAGAAAAATACCAGTAACACCCCTACTCTGGCATTTGTGTCCCGTGGATTGTACGTTTGCAAAATTCCAAACAGAAAAATACCAGTAAACTTTATCAATTTACTTGAAACTTATTTTTGTAACAAACGTAATGATAATATTGTCCAGAAGTACATATGATATGTTTAGTTTTAGTTTTACGTAAGTTTACAAATGTAAACTAATATCCCTACCATTTTAATGTGTATATACATCGACCCCCAATATATTTGAAATTATACATATCACTTAAGTTTAATGTATTCTTTATAAAAATACCTTTTGTTTGTATTTTAATTACTTATTGAAAGCTGGAATATAAGTTGAACATTATTCTGTTTTCGAGTTCTATAGGATATTATTAGTTAGAACAAGTGGATAGAGTGTCGTCCATAATCATTTGTCAATTAATCATTCATTACAAACTTTATCAACAAACACGCATCAAATTACAATGCAAAATTTTGGATAAATATAACGCCTTTTTGAAGCTGGGCAACATAAAAATTATACAAGGCTTAATGTTATAAAAGTTAATCTTATACCATATATCATAGTGTATAGGCCCATATTTGACTTCGGGTTACCTTTGTCAATTGATTGCCAAGCCGATAGGCACGTCGCACAGTTTTGACAGGCCTACAGGAATAGTATATTACACTATTAGCCTGGTTTAGTGGTGTTTTACCGTGAAGGCACGACAGTTCACGGATTTTCGTGTGAGAACAGTGAAGCATACAGGGCGAGTACGGTAACGTACGATACCTGACATCATACTACAGAGAAAAATAAGTACATTTTAAACTTATGAAACAATTTAATTAGGATATTACATAATTTACAATATTTTTACATTTAAGAAAATAAAATTGACCGTTGCATTTTGCTGTTTATTTCATCAGCTGACTAAGTGCACGGTAAAAAACTGTTACGCCACACTACACTGGTTTAACGAACTTCCCACACAATGATTTAGTCCAGATAACAACTGTTTGCTAATAAAGTTAAGAAACCTCTTAGTGATGCCCCGTCTTTATTCTTTATTTAATTAACAAATATTATCAATCTGGCAAGCGATCTCTAATGAATATATAACTATCAACTCTCTACAAAATATTCATAATCAATAACAGCATTTGTTGAATGCTATTAGTTCCAGTTTTTGAAATCCTTGGAGCAATTTCTTTTAAAACATCAAACGTAACGCTTAGAAAATCCTCCCTCCCTCGCACCTTTTTCCCCGTCGTAGATACAATGTACATGTGTCCGCAATGTTCCGCCCTTGAAATATTTGCAGAGACCTGTCAACCCCTTGTCAGGTAGCAGTAATCTCTAGTGTCCGCTTATGCCCTCTTTAATGATGTGTCCCCAATATTCCGTGTCCGCATTTGCCCGGACACCGACCTACCTGCCTCGGCTATTGTAGAGTCGCCCGACCAACCGACCCTAATTAATGTCGCTTGGCTGCGCTCAACGAAAACAACAACTAGATACCCAATACCATAAACTTAAGTTAATTTATTTACAAAAATTATTAATATTGATTATCATATAATGTTTTGTTTTAAAAGTCGATCATTTTGATACTAAATTTGATGTAAATCGGCCAATTTTGACTATTAAAAACTAATTTTTAACAAACAATGAAAATTGAATATAATTTACATCAAAGCGTGAGCTAATGGAGGAATAACAAAATGCGTATGTATGAATGTATTAACATTTTATTATATCATAACCAAAATAAATAGATCGTTTGAATACAAATTTGAAAACATAATTTTAATCAGTAACTTGATTAACTGTACAATATTTCTACTGATTCTAAATTTATAAAAATGCAAAGGCACAAAGTACGAAAAAAATTCAACACGGCATAAATTAAAACATAGAACACAGTGTGAAAGTTGTAGCTAAAATTTTACTAATTCTAAATAGGCATACTGCATGTGAAATATAATATACAATTAAGCAACATGGAAAACGTGATTCTAAAATGATTACGACAAAAATCAACACGACATAAATTAAAACATAGATAGAGCACAGTGTGAAACATTTATTGACATTTTATTCACAGCAAGTCACTCCTTTGGTATAAACAAAAAAAGTACAAAAAATCAATTTAATCTATTTATATACGAGAACTTTGTATGAGCTATTATGGACACTTATGCACTTTTATAAATTATAAAAACTTAAAACTCTCTCCTGTAAAAAGTTGATCTTTTACTTGTGTCGTTTTTTTCTGCATTATAACAAAATAATAACGAAATATGAACAGAAAAAAAAACTAGTTTGGCGGCACAAATGGTCAAAATTGGCCGATTTACATCAAATTTACTATCAAAAAGATCGACATTTTACAACAAAACATTATATGATAATCAATATTAATATTTTTTGTAAATAAATTAACTTAAGTTTATGGTATTGGGTATCTAGTTGTTGTTTTCGTTGAGCGCAGCCAAGCGACATTAATTAGGGTCGGTTGGTCGGGCGACTCTACAATAGCCGAGGCAGGTAGGTCTCCTTTTCCTGGTCCGGAGTTACCCTGTCCACAACTATAACACTAATTTGTTTTCAATGATTGTGCGTTGTTTTAGCTCTTAACATATCAGAGCTTGCAATGGATGGGGATTTATTAATGTTTAACTATTATTTAGAAGGTAAAATAACTTTAGAAAAAGACTAATTTACGGATATTTGTGTAATTAAAGACACAATTACGAAGTTTCAGTTCAGCCAGTGCAAGGTTAGGGTCTTGGTGAATATTTGACAGTTTATTTCAACTCAATAAACACTTTAATAATGCCACGAGGTTTTTTTTGTAGGACCATTTTTACGTGGTAACCAGCCGGCGGGTGGAACACTCTTTAATCACAGAAGAAAGCCGTTAGACAAAGGAATAGCAAACTAATGAATTTTACCAAGCGATAATGATCTCCTCGACTGCAGGCGATTTTTCACTCTTTGGATATAATGTCTATTAAAGCTCCGTGACACAAGTATTGAACTAATCCGTTTTCGCTGGAAGATACGATTTGAACGATTTAGTTATCACAAAAAAAGAAAATAATGCTATCGTCAAAAAGTGTTAAACTTTCTTTTCAATCCGTGCAGATTGGCAGTTTGATGCCAACTTTACATAACGTAACTACCTCTTGCTGTTTATCCAATAGCTTACGTGATGCATAACCGATTATAGCTCACCTGATCATAATGATAACTAAGGAGCTAAGGAGAGTAAGGAGAGAGAGGGTTGGGTAAGAACGAGATGGAAAGTAGGAACATGATCTATAATTACTCACACGCAACTGACGGTATTGTGTCCAAATTACCAAATAATACCTGCGTCTAGCTCCAGTATCCCATGGTGGGTCGGAAAGTTGCATAATGTATAGTTTACAATACAATCTTTATATCAATTATAACTACTTTTAGTTAATTATATCAAATATTTAAAATGGGGACACCACTATGTGCATATTTTAACCCAAATATGAGTGAAGAAACAGTGAAGGATGAGTGGTGCGATCTTGTAGTCTTGTTAGTGACTTAGGCCATAGACAAAAAAAGGCCGACATGTTTCCTGGACACAGCGTTAATTAATAGACCATACGGTCAATGGTAACTAAGGGATCTACAGTTCATAGTGGAATTTAAACCACATTTTCCTTGTTATTAACGCATTGGTCTAATTATCAGGATAGTACTCCGGATAGTTGTCGTACTCACTAGTGCGGACGTTAATCCACACCAGTGAGCATCGCATTGTGTATGCTATAAATATACACAATTCGTGACCTCCAGCTGGATTACAGACTTTTACTTTTACAATCGAGTTTACACGGTTGCAGACTACATTGTAAATAAAACTTCAAAAGTGAACAAAATGGAGTACAAATTTTAAGTTTTTTGAATTTGTCTTTTCTGTAATTTTTTGCTAAACTGACTGTTTAAAGGACAAATTATTAGCATTAAAAAAATGAGGATTATATTTGGCAAAATAATATGAGGTAAATAGTTTAAATTAATATTGAACTTTAAAAAAAAAAAAAACTTGAATGTTATTGCGTATTGTACAATTAACTAACATTCGTAAAGCAAAAACCTATACTGTACAAAATAATAATAGAATAAAGTTATTTACATCACCTTAAAGTTATTTTAAGTTTACATAGTTCAATTCTTTAGGCTAGATTTTTGATTAAAGTAAAGGCGATCGAATATTACTTTTATTATTATTACTTAAGAAAGTAATAAAACTTTCAGAAGAGACTTTAACGTGCGGTTCACATGAAGTGAGATTAAACTGCATTTAAATACATACAGAAGAATCCCATAAAGACATCATAGTTTTTAGATTAGATTAAAAAACTTAAAAATTAATAAATTAAAAAATGAACTCTAAAAAGTATTTAATGTAAATTTGACATTGTTTTTATTTTTAGGAACCAAAACAAAAGTTATTAATGTCCTAATAGAAATAAAAAATTTTAGTTGTTTTAACTTACCATAAATTATTTAAAACCAAATGTGGTGTTATATTCTATATTAACGAGACTAATAAAAAAAATCATATTTATACTATTAGATAAACAAAAGTAAAATATAAATAAAAGTCATTACTTCTAAAAATAAAAGACAAACATGTAGTTATAATTAAAATGTATTTAATAAATCCAAAAAATAATCGCATAAGCTAAACTGCTGTCCAGGAAAAAATATATCAAACTTATCGTTATTAAACGTGAATGTAAATACAATAATTATTGAACAAAAACTAACATCTTTTGGACATCTTTAAAACATTATAAATGATATTGTTATTATATTTTTTTATGAGCGTAGTTTATTTTGTAAACAAACAGTTGATGTCTAAGAGGAGGTACTCACCAGTCGTGTTGCGGTCATGATGTGTGTGGAGAAACAGAGAGAGGCTAGCTTATATAGCCTCCCCCCTCCACCATCTGATAACAGGCCTTATCACTCTTTATATCAGTGATAAGATATAAGTTATACCCCCGCCACAGCCACCTGCAGACTAAGCGAATTTCCATTTACCTGGCTGGATTTATAATATAATATTCCCTTAAAAAAAGCCAGATTTATTTCCTATTTAAATAACATTAATTTTAATGAGTAGGTTTGCTGCAAAAGGGAATGTATTGAGGTGTGTTTTTTATTGAAATGTTGATAGCTTAGTATGAAATAAATATAATGGCAAACTTCATTAAATAGATCCATTAACAAGTAAACTACAACAGTTGATTTATTCTCCATGAGAATAACGTGGGAATTTTAATTTAATTTTTTTTTACCATCTCCTTAACCGTAAGGCATACAACAACGCTCCAATGTACAATATTATTTCTTTTTTAAGCTCTACAGATTGGTTTGAAAGGAAATAGTGAAATTTTGTGTTTTTAGGGTAAAAAAAATGAGAAAACCAATTTTTGCCCTATAAAACCCCCCAAAACCCCTGTCCCATAGTCCAATCATTCTGGTTCGCGAACTCGTTTGAATAAACGTAGGTTTACATGTTTGTACCAAATTTTATCAAAATCGGATCATTTTGCTCGAGCTATCGCGCTAACGGACTCATATAAATAAATATATATAATTATTTGAACAGAGGGTGTTTTTGGCCTATGGGGACCTCAAAATGAAAAAGCAAAGCGGTCTCGGGTCTAGGTCTTACCATGAGACCTACGGTAATAGCTTATTTCCTTTATGGGAAATTAGCTAAAAACCTATAGCAATCTTACTAGAGTAGTCCTCAGGTGCTTTAAAGAAGAAATTAGAAGGTTTACGTGCGTTGGTTAGTCAGTGTGTGGGATAGATTCAAAGAAGCACAATTGAATGAAAAATTGGATTTGTAAAGTTTATAAGTCTTTGTGTAGCTCTGTTTTTGTACACAATCCAAAGATTCTTTGATGAAGTATAAGTAGCATGTTAAGTGGTGATAACATCAGGTTGTATTGAAACATATATATATATATATATAGCAAAAGATGTAATTCTTTTAATGCACTTTGATTATAAAAGATTTAAAATTTTGAAAATTGTCTTTAAAGTAATTAGCCTTATGGGTTTTAAACTTTTACTGTTATAACAACTAAGTTACGGCAATTAAATTAAATTAAAAAATACATTGATCTTAATACTCCATCGAGGAATATTTACCGTATTTACTTAATTAACACCGTATATACATCATGACACAATTGAATTATTAGATCCTTGTTTTTATATTAGAGTATGTTTTTTGTCTTGCACTTTATCCAACGACCACTTTTCCAAATTATGGTGAATTAAGGTAATCGAAAGGATTAAAAAAAAATTACAATACCAAAGCAATGCTTAGGCGTTAGTTTTAAAATGGTGTAGATGGTTTCTAATTGCACTTACTTTAAGAGAAGTATTTGTATGTTTTTGTTTCTAAACATTCCATCTTATAATTCCCCCAAACTGTTTTTAATATGGGATGAAATCATTTTGTTTTTAAATTGGCAATGTTATCATACTACTCATGTGCTAATAATTTAAAGTACATCTGAATGAATATGCCATTTAATGAGTGATTGTAGGCGTATTCCTCCACATCAATGAATATTATAAAATATTTAGGAATAAATTAGGTTTAAGATAAAAATTTAAAAAATATGCAAGTCGTAGGATTGTTAAATAATCGCACCACAAAAAACCACAGACTAAAGAATTTCAATTTGCCTGATTGGATTTTTCCAATAACCCAAATATTTCCATGAAGAAGTCATATTTACTACCCATTTAGGAAACTGTTTTCGTTTACTTAGGTGGGACCGTGTATATGAACGGTTATCATATGTTGTGATGTTTAAATCTTTGCCCATTGTTGCACCACGCCACGGTGCGTTGGTGAGATATGGCGCGGCGGACTGTACCATACAAAAAAAATATTTTATTCATTTATTCATTTTTTTATATCTTGGTTGTTTATTAACCATTCTTTACAACCTATGTACCGTTGGATTAGTCATTAAATTTCTAAAAATGCTTATCCCTGATATTTTTTGTATACACTTATTTTTAAGGTATTTAAGATAGAAGATTTGAAATTTCTTAACATACTGTTTACTACTTACGTACCAAGTTTCAAGTAAATTGCTTAAGGAATTGGAGAGTTATGGATTCATTTTTGAAAATCACACATAGACAGAAAACCAGACATTTTAGGCCCATGTTTATTTGATGTTTTTGCATTGTTTTGATATAAGAAATAAATTTACAAAAGGGTTCCGGAGAGTTCTCGGACACCTGTATACGGACATTATGTGATTGTAAAACAAATGGTTTTGACATGCTAAAGATCTGAGCATGAATTCAATCCTTACCATAATTGAACCAGTAATTTGGTAATAATAAATATTGTATGATTGTTCTTGTTTGTTTTTGTTTTTTATGGTTAATTCAGACTATTATTTATGAAATTTAAATTAGTCTGAAACACATATTTTCACAAAATTACATTTTCTTTGAATTTTCAATATTTCTATCTTTGTTCAACATATCGAAATTATTCAACTATTGTATTCAGTCAAAACCCTGTTGTTGACTAAAATTGTATTAGGAGTATTTACAGTCATAAACAATATTAGTAGGCTAATTTGATAATTTTATAATTTGTGTACACAGACAAAAATCTTCATTTAAAGTGTTATGACACTGACGTTTTCGCTTGAAGTATTAGGGCTTGAGCTAGTTTATCACAAAACTGATTTTTTAAGGCATAATCAATATTTATATAGAGATTGTTGCACTTCCTCAGTATCAGCCGCGGCCCACGAACGACCTTGTCAAGGTCACCGAGCCGACTTTATAGAGCCATCGTCCTTGATATCTTCAAGATTGGCGATTAGAAAATGAAGAGCAATGACGTCAACGGGCTGCGAATTCAGATGCAAAACCACGTCTTCCCTTCGTCACTATTTTAACACAGTTTGTCCTTTTTATGAAGTTTTATAAGCAAACAGATGGTTTGGCAATGGGAAGCCCACTTTCGACAATTTTATCAGAAGTATTTTTACAACATCGCAAAAAAGGAATGTTAAAAAAGCTTAAACTCAGTCATGATGTTATATCAGCTTTATGTTAGATATGTAGAAGGTATTATTGTTATTTTCAGGCAAACCCAGGAGAAAGAGATACAATGATGCAGATATTCAACAGCCAACACCCGAACCTCATGTTTACCAACAAATTCGCATTGTTATTGTCAATATTAATGTTATTTTTAAATTAATGTGCGGTCGATGTAACAGAATAGGTATTTAAAACTTGGTAACAATGTGCGAACACAACACATCAATCTACAGATAGATGGATCAATGCTACCATAAAACGCTTTAAAATAAATGATAAAATAACAAATAAATTAAATAGTAAAAAGCAAAACGTTCTCTACAAACACCGGAGAATAAACATGTCTATAAACTGTTTTAGACTGAGCCTATACGGGTTATAAATATACATAGGAGTATTGATTAATAAATTCAATACAGAAAAACATCCAAATTGTTGTATCGTACTCTACTTTTGAGGCAGCAATGTATCCAAAAACTATTCTAATCTTAACATGAATGCAAAGTGTAGAATTGCGTGGACGATCTATGATGCTTTCTTACTGACTTCAATAAGCCGAATGAGCCGATGTCATTATGATAATATTGTTCAATGAGCAAGGGCTGTCTAGTTTAGAAATGTTAAAAAACCACCTACTTTTTTGGGATGGGACTGGAGACCGGTGACCTTGGGCAAGTATTAATTGCGCCAACTGGCCTGAGTCAGGTTGTTAGGGTAATCCTGAATTGCGCCAACTACTCTAGGGAGCCACCCGATACGTTCCTTAACCAAGTGGCGGCCCTCTGAATGTATAATTGAGTAGGTTAGGTTAGGATAGGTTAGGTAAGTAAAGTTAGGTTAGGATAGGATAGGTTTGGTAAGTTGAGTTAGGTTAGGATAGGTTAGGTTAGATTAGGATGATAGGAAATCCAGGACATTCCTTCTGCCGGCAACTCACCCCTACATTAAAGGGACTTTTTGGGGCCCTTTGAGGGCTTGGCCCAATTAAGGAACTCTTTGGCGCAATTAATGCACGACGAAACACTGAGCTACATACTAGATGAACATTCTACAGTAGCAGTTACATAAGACATTCTCTAGACAGAAGGCACAGGAGGTTGTGTGTTCAGCACATCTCAGCATCAGCAGATCCAGTTTCTAAGGACTATGCAGATCCACAGTTTCCTGGTGGCGGAGGTCGACCTTGCTCTTATACTTCCGTCGCCTCCTCCACCTCCACAAGACAAACATGACCACAACGGTGGCGTCATTATCATCTAATTATGGTGCAAATTGATCTGTTTCAATCAGGAAATCAAATTTCCTGCTTTCGTGTTTGGAACATAAAGGTTTTGTGAGTGAATGACATGTTTATTTAACAGTTAGGGAGTTCTACTATGACTACTTTATTAGTTTCTGTTTACTAATGGTTTCCCTAAAGACTCACCACTGTTTAAATAACAAATAAAATAGATATTTTTCGCTTAGCCGTCACCAATTTTGTGGGGTAGACCGGGATTACGCCAGTTATGTGAGGGTTAAAAAGGTCAGCCTGGAACGCACCGGGATTGCGCCAACGCTACCACAGGTAGCCGGGTAATCGAGCGGAAGATGGAATGTAACCTAACCTAACCTTACCTAGCCTAATCTAACTTAACCAAACCTAACCTAACCTAACCTTACCCGATAATGAAGAGAGAAACTAAAGTTGAACTTTAAGTATTTTCTAAACTTGAAGAAATGCCGCATTGGCGCAATGACAGTGCGTTTGTTTTTTTTTTTTTTTGGGGGGGGGGGGTAGATTTGGCAGTGGCGCTTTGCCGGTGTCTACCTGGCCCTAGTGGCGCAATCCCGGTGGACTGACTTTTGGAAGTAGAAGAAGTATGAATTTATTATGAGTTTACAACGATTA